TTTGGATTATTTTCTGAGCATACAGACTGATTAAGTATGCTAAAATGATACAACACTGATACACACCTTTCTTGCTTTTAAAAAATACACAATCCCCTTGTTCTATTTGAATGACTGCCTCTTGGTCTATGTACAGGTTCTGCATAAGCACAATTAATTCTGCAATTTCTATTCTTCAAACTGTTATCCATAATTTATTATGATCCACACAACTGAATGTCTTTGATCATCAATAAAACACAGGTAAACATCTTTCTGGTATGTTCTGCTTTCAGCCATCTAACATCAGCAATAATATCCCTTATTCTACATTCTCCTCTGAATCTGGCTTGAATTTCTTGCAGTGCTCTGTTGATGTAATGTTACAAACATTTTTATTAATTATCTTCAGGAAAATTTTACCTGTGTGTGATATTAATGATATTGTTTGATAATTTCTACACTCCATTGGACCACCTTTCTTTGTAATGAGCATAAATTGTCTTCCCAATTTCTTAACATAGTTGAGTGAGCACTTCCAGTGTTGCATCCATTTGTTGAATCATCTCAGTTAATATTCTGTTAATTCCTGGAACCTTGTTTTTCACGAATGCCTTAAGTGCAGCTTGGACTTCATCCTTCAGTATCATCACTTCTTGACCATATGCTACTTCCTGAATAGTGGAATGTCAACCATTCTTTTTGGTACAGTGACTTAGTGTATTGCTTCCATTTTCTGTAGATGTTTCCTGTGTCATTCAGTATTTTGTCCATAGAAGCCTTCAATGTTGCAACTCAAGTCTTGCATTTTTTTTTCAGTTCTTTGAGCTTGGGAAATGCTGAGTGGTTTCCTTTATGGTTTTCTAACTGCAGGTCTTTGCATATTTCACTATAATGCTAAGTCTTCTTCATCTGTCCTTTGAAGTCTTCTGTTCAGCTCTTTTACTACATTATTTCTTCCTTTGCTTTAGCTCTTCTACATTTAAAAGTAAATTTCTGAGTCTTCTGGCATCCATTTTGCTCTTTTCTTTCTTTCCTGGCTTATTATTATTTTTATTGTTATCTGAGTGAAAGTTTACAGAGAGAATTAATTTTCCCTGCAACAGTTCATATATGCATTTTGTTTCGTGATATAGATTTCAGTCCCTGTAACATAACAGCTTTCTTCCCACTGCCTCCCTGTGGTTACCTTTTTCCTGTGTCCTTCTTTCCTATGCATTTCTGTCCTCTGAACTATCTCCTGATGCAAATGCTGCCCTTCTGATCACCATGGTCGATGGACTATTAATTAGTCATATGATTTGCCCTTTCCTGCCTTCTAATTTCTCTCTCTCAAGAATATCATGCTAAGGAGTGTACCTACCTGGTGTAAATATTCACCGAATATGCCTGTCTATTTTTTGGGTGCAAGCACAAGAGTGTGTTCAATTCCAGGCCCAAAGGGTGACTAGGGGACAAGGTCTTGGGAGTTTTACCAGTGTCTATCAGACCAGTAAACCTGATCTTTTTTATGATTTTGAGTTTTTTTTTCCACATTTTCCTCCCATTCTATCCAGGATCTCCTATTTTGATCTCTTTCCAAGTGGTAGACCATGATCACCAAGGCACCATCTAGTTTCTGGTCTCAGGATCATGTCAGCTGAAGTTCACACAGTCCACTAGTCCCTTGGCCTAATTGTTTCCATGTATCTCTGGCTTTCTTTTAATGATATTTTGCTTTCTTCATATGTGATATCCTTGATGTCACCCCACAACTTGTCTGGTCTTTAATCATTACTATTCAGTGAGTCATATCTATTCTTGAGGTGGTCTCTAAGTTCACTGGGATATACTCAAGGTTGTACCTTGGCTCCTGTAGTCCTATTTTAATTTTATTCTGGTTCAACTGGAACTTGCACGTGAGCAATTGATCATCTGTTCCACAGTCAGCCTCTGCCTTTGTTGTAAGTAATAATATTGAGTTTCTATCATAGCTTTCCACATATGTAGTTGATTTGATTTCTGTGTATTCCATCCAGCGAGGTCCATATGTATCATTGCCATTTATGTCATTGAAAAAAATATATTTGTAATGAATAACTCATACTTCTGGCAAAATTGTATCATGTGATCTCCACCATCATTTCTATTTCTATCACCAAGGCCATATTTTCAACCTACCTTCCTTCTTTGCTTTCAACTTTCAAATCCTGATCACCAGTAATTATCAATGTAACTTAATTGCATGTTTGGTCAATTTCATACTGCAGAAGTTGGGAAAAACGTTCAATATAATTGCTGAGTATCTTTTTCTCTTTACTGCCTTTGTTCTTTCCTGTTGGAAAAATGTGGCTCTTTTGTGGACATAAGAATAATTCTGGTGGAAATGAAGAAACTATTTGAATATATAATTATGCATGCAATATTGACTTTTCTGGCTACCCTAGCTGATATTTTGATTCCCTAGATAGAATAGTAATAAGAGTAAATTAGTCTATGAAAGGACTATATAAAAAGGAAATGTTTTTTAAACTTATAACTTTGAGACAATTCATCCCTCTTCTGTTTCCAGTGTCTTAGAGGTATTATCTGTGAACTTTAAAGTAGAGAACTTTGAGTCTGGAAATGTCCTTTTCCACATGCTGTTTTTTGGCTTGTTTATCTCCAGAATTCAAATAATACTGTGTAATTGCCCAAGAAATATACTGTTATGAGACTTCATTTGGAATATAAAAATTTTATATCTTACTTTAAAAATATCATAGTATTAAAATTATATGTCATCTATTTCAAACTTAAAATATCATTTGTGTAATATTCAATTATACAGCAACAATAGAAAATCAGGGACTAGGAGTCAAATAGCAGCTCTGGTGGCACAGTGCCTAAGGCATTTGACTGCTAACCAGAAGACTGGTAGTTCAAACCCACCAGCCACTCCTCAGAAGGAAGGTTGAGCAATCTGTTTCTGTAGTGATACCACCTTGGAAACCCAAGGAGGGGTCACTATGAGTTGGATCTGACTTGATGGCAGTGAGTTTGAGGAGTCAAATGGCTCAGCTTCAGATTCTGGACTATTAGTTAGCCGTATGATATGTCCTTTCCTACCTTCTATTTCCCCTCTTTTAGAATGATATCATGGTTTGAGGAGTTCTGGTGGCATAGTGCCTAAGGCATTTGACTGCTAATGAGAAAGCTGGCGGTTCAAACCAACCAGCCACTCCTCAATTGGGCAATCTACTTCCATAGAGACACCCAAGGAGGGGGCGCTATCAATTGGATCCAACTCCATGGAAGTGAGGTGTTTTTTTTTTTGTTTGTTTTTTTTTTTTAATCATGCTTTGTAAAGTGGAGAGTCAGAGAAAAAGGAGAAGGCCCTCAAAGAGATGGATTGACAGTGGCTGCAACAATGGGCTCAAGCATACTATGAATTGTGAGGATGGTACAGGACCAGAGTATTTCATCCTGTTGCACACACGGCCACTATGAGTCAGAATCAACTCAAAGGCACCTAACAACAGAAACAACAAATCCCTCTCTTGTGAACTAAAGGTGTTAGAATTCTTAGAGTATTTGCTAAGCCCTCAAATTCTATGGTTATCTATTACTCTTAGATTTCATTTGTAATTTCAGATCTATTGGGAAGAGTAACATTTTCTAAAAGTAATTTTAAGGATAATAAGAGACAATTTTAAACTTTACTGTATGAATATTCAATTTATTGATTAAATTAAAAAACCTTATCTTCCAGAAATTACAGTATGGGCACTTAGTCTAAGTCACCCTTTGTTAGGTAGCATGCCACTTGCCCATGTTGTCAATGCATGTATAGAATTCTGTAGTATCTCCAGAGAGTGCCACATAAAGAAGCTATGGCTTTTTCCCAATTTGTATAGTTACAAGATAGCTGTACTAGTTGGTGGTCTGATCCGTACAACAGTCCTGAAAGCCATTTCTTTCATCTATTAACTGACTAGCATGGTGGTAACAGATGACTTTTAAACAGCTGTCACAAGCTGAAAACAAAACAAAACAAAAAGCTACCCTCCCACAGTGTGTACTGACAGCTTGCCAATAGCTTAAACAAATCCTTCTTGGAGCATTTTAACAAACTTTTATTTTTGGTTGTCGTTTCATTTAAACAGAAACTCATAAAACTCAGACAAAGTGGCTTCATGTTTTCCACAGAACTGAACTGCCCTAACTTTCTGATGGGATCACAGCAATTAGTAGTTTACAGATGCATTCAAAATGTGTTAAGGGCCTACAGGAATTGGCTTTTAAAATGTAGATAACTCTTCAAACATTTCAATCTCAAAATTCTACCATAAGCCCATATGAGAAACTATGATGTTTGTATATTATTTGGTCATAGTTTGGTACTTAAGTTGCAATTAATACTACATTGAAAACTATGAGCAATGAAAAATTCATTAACTTAAACAATTCTTTTTTTAATATTTCCTCCTATTTTAATGGTCACTTTATAAGTTTCCTTATAACCCTGAAAAGTATGGAAGTAATCACTAACTCTCATTGAAGATACAGCTACAATGAATGGTATTCTGAGAAGAAAGCTCTTGATGTCTTTGTCATTTTTCCTGGAGAATTCATTTCTAGACTTTGGCTAATTGAATTACAAACATGTCAGTCTGACAACTTTAACAGTTTATACTTTGTATGTTGGAATGTCAAGCTTTCCTTTCCTTTCTTCTGGACAATTTCTCTTTGTCATGGGACTCTTCCTCAAGTGAAAAATTGAGTCTATGTTTACACTCAGTGTTTTACCTTTGATTGAAACTAGGCAGAAAGGAAAACTGTGGTCTGTCCTCTCATAAAGGGCAGGGTTGAAAACAAGACATGAGAATAAAAACATGGCTTTTGATGAAAAATGCATTTAACAGTTAGTTTCTTCTCCAGTGACTAACACATTTCTCTTCTCTGGAGATATATCTGAGTTTCATATCCTTTTTATTTTTTTCTTTTAGATTCCATGTGGACAGCTCACAAACAAAAATGAACAATACAAAGAGAAACCGGTAATGTTCACCCATCAGTGTGAAGATTCTGAAAGGTAATAATGACATTTTATTGAGAGGATGTAGTGCCTCCAATAGTAATAGTCTAACTAGGGCACTTGTACTTTAAACAAAGATGATGCAACCATAAAGAAGTGGTTGGCACTATAGTGAGTCAGTAAGAAAAACTGGGTGAACTTTGTGTACATGTTTTCTTTCATTGCTGTCCAAAGGAGCAGGACCAATACAAGTTATGGGGGTTATTTGATTTTTAAAAGTAATTGGTAAATTTCTCTTTATAAGTGTGATAAACTAAAGGAAAAAAAAAAAAAAACACCTCACTGCCATCAAGTCAATCCTGACTCACAGTGACCCTTACTGGGCTTCCAAGATGGTATATCTTTGAAGAAGAAGATTGCCCAATCTTTCTTCCACTGAGCAGCTGGTAGATTCAAACCACTGAGTTTTTGGTTAGTGGTCAAATGCCTTAACATTACATTATTAGAGCTCCTTTGACAAGCATGGTACATGGGATGATTTATCTTGAATTTGTGCAAATATTTTCCTACAGAAACTTATATTTCACCAATAAAGTGAAGAGGTTAGCTTTATCTTCTGGTGTTTTTGTATAATCCTTAGCTTGGTATAAGGTGAGAAGTCATTTATCAAACAAATCCCTTCTCAGCTCTTCTCCACGTCCCATCAATCTTTCAAGGCATTTCTCAAGCCTCATTCTATTCATTGGCAAAGAGTTATTACTTGGATTTCTTATTCGGCATCTTTTATGTGTGAGATATTGTTCTAGCTAGTTGCAGAAGATGAATCAGATACTGAGTCTATCTTCAAGCTGCTTGCAACTTAGAAGTGAAAAGCCATGTGCATGTCTAATACATATTATTTTATCTTATTAAAGAGACATGGATAAACTGCTCTGGGAAATCAGAGGAGGGTGGGATTTCTAGATGTGAAGATACAGAGAAGCATGGAGGAGCTGTTTGGAGTTCTGGCAAAGAGAAGGGAAAAACAAGAAAAGGGTACTCTAGGCTAAAGGTGGTGTGTATGCAGGGATGTAGCAGAACAGAAGTTGAGGACCTGCGTGGGAACTGGCTAGTGCTTCTCTTCAGCTTCAGCATCTAACATGTACCTGTTGCCATCTAGTTCATTCCACCTCAGAGACAACCTACAAGACGGGGTAGAAGTGCCCCATGGGGTTTCCAGGGCTTTAATCTTTACGGAAGGAAACTGACATGTCTTTCTTTCTGAGAAGCTGATGGGTTCTAAACTCAGATGTTTTGGTTAGCTGCTGAGTTCCATCACCAGGCCATGTAGTACAATAAAAGCAGGAAATTTGATTGACATCTTGAATGAGGGGCATATATGACTTCAGGCCCAAGGAGAAGGATGAGGCAGATGCTGCAACCCATATATTAGTCTCATCAAAGATAGAAAAGAAAAAGTGAAAGAAATAGATTAGAAGCTATGAACAGGAACAGAACAGCTGGTACTTTCTCCCTCTCTTGAATGGAATGCTTTCTAACTGAACCACTTTATGTTCTGCAGGGGTAAACTGTGTCTCTTGAAGTATTATATATGCTAATATTAGGATTGCCATAAAAGCTGCTTTTCAAAGTAAAAGGAGTAGATGAAACAGCTTGGATATCAAAGTATATGCAATACCTTACAGTTTTTATATTCCTCTTAACATAATCAAGGAGTTCTGATGGTGCAGTGGTTAAACTGTTCAGCTGTTAACCAAAAAGTCAATAGTTCAAACCCATCAGCCACTTCTCAGGAGAAAGCTGAGGTAGTCTGCTTCCATAGAGTTTAACAGACCTGAAAACATTCTGTGGTAATTCCACTCTCTCCTATAGGGTCGCTATGTGTCAGAATAAACTCAGTGGCAGTGGGTTTGGCTTTTAGGTGCTCACATAATCTTGAAGTATATGGTTTTAAACGTGGCTCTAGTCATCATGTTATGAACCTAGGTCCCTCCTTTATCAAGATACTCTTCTAGTACAAGTTCCCCATTTTAATTTTTGCTAAGGCAGATGTGTCACTGTTCTAAATACTTATTTTAAGAAATGTAGATGTTTTGATTCCCTAGTGTCACTCTAACAGAAAATGCCACAAATGGATGGCTTTAACAAATAGGAGTTTGTTCTCTTACACCTTTGGAGGCTAGAAATCCGGGTTCAAAGTGCCAGGCTCTAGGAGCTTGGTGAAAGCCCCTCAACCTTGGCTTCAACTTTGCCTCTTGCTGCCCACTCCCCGAAGTTGGAGGCTTTCTTCGGTCAGGCAGCTGCTGGCTGCTGAGGCTGACAAACCCAAGGTTGATAAGTAAAAGTCACAGTCCTGGCATTACCAAATCACATGGCAGGCCACTGATTCAAGTCATTAAGAGTCCCAAGATCTGCAGACAATGTGGCAGGTTACTGAATAATGACTTGGCTATATGCAGGATACAAGCATGCCAAAAGCTACAGACCATTCCCAAAGCTTCTCCTTATATATGAGAAGCAGATCACATCCCTGAAGCAGCTACTCATCTGCTCATGGCAGATTCCACCATGGAGTTGATTGCCAGTCTCATCATGGGGAGTAACTACCACCAAGCTGCCCAACCACTCAAAACCAGGCCCAGCCAAGTTGATACATAATCTCAACCACCACAGTAGGTATTTTAAAAGAATGGATTATATTCTAGTTCTAAGTTCAGAAACTTAGAACATTACAAAGAAAACAATTACGCTTCATTTTAGCCTTAGGTAGAGTCATTTTAGAAGAATAAAATGCATCTAAGTTCTCTTGAAATGCCCGTTTACCTGGCATTAAAGTCATTCACAATAAGGAACATTTGACCTATGCATTAAACATGATCAAACATAATCTCAGGTATTCATTAACAATATGGTAACAACATGCTAGTTTTCAGATGCAGTAAGGGTTTTAATCCTGTGTCTTTCCCTATATTCAGAGCAATCAAATGTTTTCATGGAAAGAAATGGTACACTTTAAGAAACTTAAAATTTAAACAATAGTGAGTTTGTTTTTTTTCTTTCCCCTGTGAATAAAACACTCTCCTCCAGATGCAATATTTGGCAGCCAAACAGCTGCTGGCTATTAAATGTCCCTTAAAGCTTCATTTTTTTTTTTTTTTTTTTTTTTTTTTTTTTTTTTTTTTTTTTTTTTTTGGCTCATAAAGGGAAGAGAAGTGGAGGAACATTTATGGGGTGACAGGCAGATGTTTTAGTTGGAGCAGGATTGTGTATGTAGTAAGCGAAAGCTAAAATAATCTCTTTTATGACATCATCGGCATTTTTACAATTCTTTTGGCCTTTTTATTTTTCACTCTGTTTTTACCTGATCTTCTATTAAACTCTTCTGGAAAGACAGAATACAAGGACGTTTGCATAGTTGTCCACATAGCAGAAAATCTAACAATATCATCTACTTTTACATAAGCAATACAAGTCTACACATATTCTTTTCTGTCTGTTCATGTTGCTTTGTTTGGAAAAAAGAAAATTATATTTTGGAGTTCTGAATAAGTATTTTTAAGGACACACAAAATATCATAGATTATAATAAATTTTCATTAAGTTTACTAATTCTTATTTATATTTTAATTTAAATAGTCTTAAAACTGAAACTTGTGATACAGATTTGACACTTTTTCAGAAATTACTGTATTTTTATGCAAATATATTATACATTATTTTTTTCCCAGCCACAACCTTCCCCCCAGGTATTTTCATTAAGCATGTTAATTTATCATCAATAAAGTGAAGCATAAACAGTAAAAATGACTTTTAAACAGCTGTCACAAATTAAAAACAAAAAACTACCTGTAATGCCACCAATCATCTGCCAGTTTGTTGTACTGTGGTGGCTTCCATGTTGCAATGATGCTGAAAGCTATGCCACTGGTATTTCAAACATGAGTAGGGTCACCCAGGGTGGACATACTTCATCAGAGCTTACAGACTAAGACAGACTGGGAAGAAGGACATGATGACATATTTCTAAAAAAAACTGGTCCATGAAAACCTTATAATAGTGGTAAAACACTGTCTGATATAATTCCAGAAGATGAGTCCCTCTGATAGGAAGACACAAAATATAATAGGTGATGAACTGACTCCTCAAAGTATGCAATGCAAATGCAACCCCTGCTGTGGAGTCAGATCCAACCCATAGTGACCCTTCCTTGGTTTCTGAGGCAGATCAGTGGGGAAGTAGATTGCCCAACCTTCCTTTCAAGGAGTGGCTGGTGGGTTTGAACCTCCAGCCTTCTGATTAGCAGTCAAATGCTCTAGGCACTATGCCACCAGAGCTACAGTCACCCTTAAAGTCCTGGAGTAAAGCTTTCAGGACCATCATTTGGTGATTGAGACATGCCTCAATATAAGAAAAAACAGGTACAAACATCCATTAGTAATTAGAACATGGAATGTGTAAAGTATGAATCTCTGAAAATTGGAAGTTGTCAAAAATGAAATGCTAAACATAAAGATTGACATCCCAGGTATTTCTCTCCTGAAATGAATGGATACTGGCCATTTTGAATCAGACAATCATATGGTCTACTCTGCTGGGAATGAGAAACTGAGTGGTGTTACATTCATTGTCAAAAAGAACATTTCAAGCTCTGTCCTGAAGTGCAATGTTGTCAGTGATAGGACAACATCCATATCCCTACAAGGGAGACCAGTCAATACAAATATTATTCAAATTTATGCACCAACCACTAATGCCAAATATGAAGATATTGAAGTTTTTTTTTTTTTAACCAACTTCTGAAGCCTGAAATTGACCAAACATACAATCAAGATACATTGATAATTATAGGTGATTAGAATGGAAAAGTTGGAAACAAAGAAGAAGGATCATATTTGGGAAATATGATTTTGGTGAGAGAAATTATTCCAGAGATCACTTGATAGATTTTACAAGACAAATTACTTATTCATTGCAAATACCTTTTTTCAACAACATAAACAGCAAGTATGCATGTGAACCTCACTGGACAGAATACACAGGAGTCAAATCAACTAGA